TGGCAACCTTTATTTCAAGTTCCATACGATAGATGAAATCAATTTAGTCGCCGAACTTTGAATTATTCAGTGACAGAACACACTCTACCTAGAGAAACGTGAAGAAAAAAATATTTCTAGCTTCTTTTTTCCCTCGTAAAAATTGCCTGTTTGATGTATGCCTCATATATCTATAAATTAAGGAAAAGGTCAATGAGAAAGGGAGAACAGTTTGTTCCCATATGAAGGACTACTGTCTGTTTGAAAAAAGAAAAAAAAAACATATATGTTGTCAATAAAAAATGAAGGATCTCAATGATGCCAGTACATGTATCACTGAACCAGAGTGGTTCTTTTTACAAAGTAGGGTTTGTCCCTTCCAAGATTAAAGTTTAGTGAGACAATCTATTCTACAACATTTTTGGACAGTTCTTTCCTAGATGCGATTTCAACAGTTATGGACAGTTGTACCCTAGATGTGATCCTAACAGTTTTGGACAGTTCTATCCTAGATGCGATCCTAACAGTTTTTGACAGTTCTATCCTAGATGCGATCTTAACAGTTTTGGACAGTTCTATCCTAGATGCCATCTTAACAGTTTCGGACAAGTCAGGAATATGACAGTTATTATCCATTCGTTTGATCTTTTGGTTTTGCCATTTGATTGGGGACTTTCCTTTTTAGCTCACCTGGCAAAAGGGCCAAGTGAGCTTTTCTCATCACTTGGCGTCCGTCGTCCGTCGTCGTCCGTCGTCGTTAACTTTTATAAAAATCTTCTCCTCTGAAACTACTGGGCCAAATTTGACCAAACTTGGCCACAATCATCATTGGGGTATCTAGTTTAAAAAATGTGTCCGGTGACCCGGCCAACCAACCAAGATGGCCGCCATGGCTAATAAAATGCTCCGCAGGGCGCAGCTTGATACGACCGCAGAGGTCGAACCCTGAACAGTTGGGGCAAGTATGGACACAACATTCAAGCTTGATACAGCTTTGCATTTGGATTGTGATTAAATATTTGACACAGCATAGGTTTCTGACACAGAATGAATGTGGTCTAAGAACTTAAAAATTTTAAATTGTAAATTCACCTATTATGGTCCAATATCCAAAATCTAAATACATGGTTAGATTCAGCATATCAAAGAACCCCAAGAATTCAATTTTTGATGAAATCAAACAAAGTTTAATTTTGGACCTTTTTGACCTCAATGTGGACAAAGTTGATAACGGGGCCCAAAAATCAAAAATCTAAATACATGGTTAGATTCAGCATATCAAAGAACCCCATATATTCAATTTTTGTTGAAATCAAACAAAGTTTAATTTTGGACCCCGATTTGGACCAACTTGAAAACTGGGCCCATAATCAAAAATCTAAATACATGTTTAGATTCAGCATATCAAAGAACCCTAAGAATTCAATTTCTGTTAAAATCAAACTAAGTTTAATTTTGGACCCTTTGGACCTTAATGCAGACCAATTTGAAAACTGAACCAAAAATTAAGAATCTAAATACACGGTTAGATTCGGCATATCAAAGAACCCCAATAATTCAATTTTTGATGAAATCAAACAAAGTTTAATTTTGGACCCTATGGACCTCAATGTGGACCAATTTAAAAACGGGGCCCAAAATCCAAAAACTAAATACACGGTTAGATTCAGCATATTAAAGAACCCCAAGAATTCAAGAATAAAACCCCATTGAAATTGGTCAAGAAATAAGCAATTTATACGAAGTATCTTCTTTTGCACAATACTGTGCAATTAAATTTTTCTTGCTATTGCGCAATACTGTACAATTGACAATTTCTTGCTATTGCGCAATATTGTGCTATTGGATATTTCTTGCTATTGCGCAATACTGTGCAATTGAAGATTTCTTGCTATTGCGCAATACTGTGCAATTGAAGATTTCTTGCTATTGTGCAATACTGTGCAATTGAAAATTTCTTGCTATTGCACAATACTTATTATATAATAATTTACACATCCTGTTTGGTGTGTATCTCCTACCATATCATTATTATTTGCTTTTAAATATAAATCAGAAATAACCAACTTAAGATGGAAAATTTTAAAAGAAAAAAAAAAGGAAAAAAAGAAAAAAAAGGAAAAAAAAAAAAATCCCCCCCCCAAATTTTTTGAACCCCCTTATGATTCATCAGCCCCAAACTCAATCCCAGCCTTCCCTTTGTGGTATGGTACCTTGCAGTACAATTTCAGAGAGATCCATACACTTGAACACAAGTTATTGTCTGGAAACTAGAAAAATGTGTTTTTTGGCCCCTTTTTGGCCCCAAATTCCTAAACAATTAGGGCAATTACCCCCAAACTCAAACCCAGCTTTCCCTTTGTGATATGGAACCTTGTAGTACAATATCAGAAAGATCCATACACTTACACACAAGTTATTGTCCTGAAACTAGAAAAATGCTTGTTTTTTGCCCCTTTTTGGCCCCTAATTCCTAAAATATTGAGGCAATTACCCCCATCATCAATCCCAGCCTTCCCTTTGTGGTATGGTACCTTGCAGTACAATTTTAGAGAGATCCATACACTTGAACACAAGTTATTGTCTGGAAACTAGAAAAATGCTTATTTTTGGCCCCTTTTTGGCCCCCAATTCCTAAACGTTTGGGCAATTACCCCCAAACTCAATTCCAGCTTTTCCTTTGTGATATGGAACCTTGTAGTACAATTTCAGAAAGATCCATGCACTTACACACAAGTTATTGTCATGAAACTAGAAAAATGCTTGTTTTTTTGCCCCTTTTTTTGCCCCTAATTCCTAATATTTTGAGGCAATTACCCCCAAAATCAATCCCAGCATTCCTTTTGTGATATGGAACCTTGTGGTACAATGTCAGAGAGATCCATACACTAACACACAAGTTATGTCTGGAAGTTACAAAAATGCTTATTTTTGGCCCCTTTTTGGCCCCTAATTCCTTTACTGTTGGTACCATAACCCCCAAAATCAATCCCAACCTTCCTTTTGTGGTATTGAACCTTGTGGTAAAATTTCATAGAGATCCATTCACTTAAACTAAAGTTCGAGTGCGAAAACTAATGTGTCTTCGGACGACGCCGGACGACGACGACGACAACGCCAATGTCATACCAATATACGACCACAAAATTTTTTTTGCGGTCGTATAAAAATAGAACATAGGGATAAAATGTCGATTTTGGCTTATATCTCTGAAACCAAAGCATTTAGAGCAAATCTGACATGGGGTAAAATTGTTTATCAGGTCAAGATCTATCTGCCCTGAAATTTTCAGATGAATCGGACAACCCGTTGTTGGGTTGCTGCCCCTGAATTGGTAATTTTAAGGAAATTTTGCCGTTTTTGGTTATTATCTTGAATATTATTATAGATAGCGATAAACTGTAAACAGCAATAATGTACAGCAAAGTTAGATCTACAAATAAGTCAACATGACCAAAACTGTCAATTGACCCCTTAAGGAGTTATTGCCCTTTATAGTAAATTTTTTACAATTTTCATAAATTTTGTAAATTTTTGTAAATTTTTATAAAATATTTTCCACTGTAACTACCGGGTCAAGTTCATTATAGATAGAGATAATAGTAAGGAGCAAGAACGTTCAGTAAAGTAAGATCTACAAACACATCACCATCACCAAAACACAATTTTGTCATGAATCCATCTGTGTCCTTTGTTTAATATGCACATAGACCAAGGTGAGCGACACAGGCTCTTTAGAGCCTCTAGTTGAATTATCCTCGGAGTTCAGTATTTTTGTGATTTTACTTTTTTCTTTCCTAGATGCGATCTTAACAGTTATGGACAATTCTATCCTAGATACGATCGTGACAGTTTTTGACAGTTCTATCCTAGATGCAATCTTAACAGTTTTGGACAGTTCTATCCTAAATACGATCTTAACAGTTTGGACATTTCTATTCTAGATGCGATCTTAATAGTTTTGGTAATTCTATCCTAGATGCCATCTTAACAGTTTCTGACAGTTCTTTCCTAGATGCGATCTTAAGCTATGGACAATTCTATCCTAAATGCGATCGTGACAGTTCTATCCTAGATGTGATCTTAACAGTTTTGGACAGTTCTATCCTAGATGCGATCTTAAGTTTTGGACAGTTCTATCCTAGATGCGATTTTAACAGTTTTGGACAGTTCTATCCTAGATTTGATCTGAACAGTTTTGGACAGTTCTATCCTAGATGTGATCTTAACAGTTTTGGACAGTTTTATCCTAGATGTGATCTTAAGTTTTAGACAGTTCTATCCTAGATGCGATTTAATAGATTTGGACAGTCCTATCCTAGATACGATCTTAACAGTTTGGACAGTTCTTTCTTAGATGCAATCTTAACAGTTTTGGACAGTTCTTTCCCAAATGCGATCTTAACAGTTTTGGACATCTTTATCTATTTATGTATTTTTTTTTTATATTCTATTATGTATTTTATTTATTTACTATTTTCTGCCTTTCTTTTTTTTTTTTACTGTACACATATCTTTTTCTGTGATTACTATAACACATAAAAATTTGAGCTTTTTTCTAAATTTCAAACAAAATATTCTAGGATATCGTTAAATTTTATGAATATTTAATATCATTTGATATGATGTCCAGTCAGAAATGGGCCGTTAAATTTGATGCCTCATATAAATAGAATGCCTTGCTCTTTGCACGTTAATAAACCCTTGCAACAAGTCTTTGAGGGGCCCATAAAATATAACATCCTAAAACCAGAATTTTGTCCAAACTTCAGTCTACCAATAGCTGCTGTGATACAAAACCTTTGACCCCAACATCGATCCTCACCCAATGAAGTTCTATCAAGTCAAGTCTGGTTAAGATATTCATTAAAGCTTAAAAACCTGAAATGTTGACACCCATACATCATACTATAAGTTTAGTCCGACTTCATCCGTATTTGGCGATATGATTTTAGAAGCATGTCAGCCCCAAAGCTACTGACCTTCAACTGTGTGGGTAAATCATTAATAAAACACTCAAGATAATTAAAAAGTTTATTTTCATATTTTGTGGAAAATTATATATTAAATGATTAAGTGAACTTAAATAATAAGCTCATCTTATATACAAACTATTATAATATTGATAGCACATATATTTCTGAAATAACACAAATTATGATAAAGACTTTACAAAACGTTCTGTTTAGACATTTCTTTGCAATATTTGAATAAAGTGCAGCAACTGATGCATAATATTGAAATTTGATTATATACTTAGTACCAAATAAAGTAAATTTTAAGTATAATACATTCAATAGCCGTTGTTTTGTATCAGCCATCTCTGATGATATAGATATCAGTCGGGGTTGCATAGGCTTTATCAAACACCAACAGAAAAACATCTGTTTCATGTATATAATAAAGTGTATATGATATTGCTTTTTTCTATATCACACACTGTATCAACCAACAGATATTGGTGTCTTTGATGATTTATACAGACGTGATATTGAAAAAGCCATATACTATTGCCTATCTATTTCAGCTGCTGCTTATAATTTCTTATTTGTAATAAGCACATAGGTATTTGATTAGAAGATACATAACCAATTGTTTCTTCAGTTTCAGGATTTAATTAAATGTATTTAAATTTGTTTGATATGGTCAGGATTTATCGAATCTGCTCTAGAAAGTAACCTTTAAAATGAATGCAGCCCATACTATTATTCCTTCGAAAAAATGTCTATTCTACCTAAAAATTGAGAAAAATACATGGTGCACAAGTATACTGTATATCATTGCTATTTTGCGTATTTTTTCTTTTATCTTTTTTGTGATAATTTTTCATATCACGCTACTCTCTTGAAATAGAAAATTATCATCAGAAACTAAGGGCGCATGTGACGTTGTAAATGTAAACATACTAAGGCAAAATAGCAACTAACAGATTATCAATGGTCTTTCAAACTCGGGACGTTTCTCTGCCACATCTCGAGAAACAACCTCCCTGTTTAAAAAAACCATCAATAATCTATAAATCTTAGCTAACTTCACAAGTGGAGCAGAAATTGGTTAAATCAATCATGTGGTTTATACATAGATTGAAATGTTTATAAGTTTGAATGAAAATAGCAGATTATTCTAATATCAATTAATTCACATAAATAATGTAATTCAAACACAAAATAGTCTTCATTATTTAATTACACATAACCAAACTACAGTTCAGCTTTTTAAATAAAGTTCAGCATGATTTGTGGTAAAACTGATGGGATATAATCCATCACATACCATATATCCCCCCCCTTTAACATTGGGCAAAGACGATTGCTACAAAGAGAGCTATAGATGTGTATAAGAGAGAGCCAACCAATATCCATACTTTAATCAAGATCACAAAATAAAAAAAATATACCATGGAGATAATGACTTTTATAGCTTATAAGGACAGACACATTAAGTATTGTAAGTGTGTGCATCATTAATTATTAAAACATGTTTGTGACTGCTTAATATTACCCATTATCTGGCACAATTGGGTGACAGCAAAAAAGAACAACAACCAGTAATAATTTACCAAAACAGACTTCAACTCATCTGCCATAAACAATAAATGCTAACTTTTTTAAGTACAAATATTGCTGAAAATTAAATGAAAATCCTAATTCAGGTGAAAAACATATGGTGTTTTCCTTGACAAGGATATTAATCAGTGCAGCTATGAATAGGTTTAGTGTGAAACATTTTAAACAACTACTGAAAAGCTTGACTTTGCAATACTGTTGTATATTCCTTTTTAAATGCTTGTTTTATGTTGTTATAAACTATTTCATTCAATGTTTACACCAACTGGTCTTATCAACTAATTTCTGGTCTACTTGAAAATGAATTGAACAATATGAGTGATATGAGTAGACATGTACAAGTTGGAAAAGACCACAGAATAGCACATACAAGTTATAACAAAGCTATACATTCATTTAGTAGAGAGCAAGTGATGACTACAGCTATTAGGACGGACATATCAAACCCTATATATCCCAAAATTCTAATACTCATTGCATCATGAAAAAAAAATGTGTAATCACACAAGGAACTGCAAAGGGTATTTGCTTATGAATTTTTTATATACTCCAAAAAACTTGAAATTAGTTATAATATACTACTAAATCATTTGCATGGAGATAGTAAACTCTTTTTTATGACCATTTATTTCTGCCAACATCCAAATTATCAGTGCATCAATGGACTATGAAATTAAGTATAAGACTGTCTTAGTAAATTCATCATTCTTCTCAAATAGTTTCAAACTAAGCATCAAAAGCTGTTGACATTGGAAAGAACTGTCTGATCTATACAACTACATTCGGGAAATAAATTGGATTATAAACGTTTCAAACCAACCAGTGAAGATTTGGTATGACATTATTTATTATGTTATTTAGAGATTTTCATGTTGCACATGTGAAAATGTTTATAGCTATCGACCAATGCACAAGTTCTTTGGTGACAAATAGGTGGGTACTAAGCATGATCTCCGTAAAGGGGATACAAATAAAAAATAATTTTATTATCCATATTTTTTTTCAAGTATGGTATAAAACATTTCATGGTAAAGAGAACACTCATGGATGATAAAATATATGTAGTATAAATCCAGATATTAGCGAAAACTTTCACGTTTGTAAAATATTATAGAGTAATGAAATTTTTAAAATCTGGACAATTTTCATCCATGTCAAAATATGATGTGTATTATAAGATAATTATGGTTGAATTTAATCAGAAAACTGTCAATTGCTATTTTTTTTCTCTAAATTAAATTGGTATATTACCTGAGAGAAAAGTAGTTCTTCATGGTTGATAAATCTCAGATTTCTAAATATCAAATATATTGCAATGATTGGTCAAAATATACAGGTAAATAAGCCAAATATACAGGAAAGAATTAATGGCACTTTCAGCAGACGACAGGAATGTATGGAAAGCCACATAAGCAAATATACAAAACATTGTGTGTTGATTATGTTTACCTATCTAATAATTATCATAAAAAACAAAAAATGGCAAGTAAAAAATCTCATGAAAATAAGTAACATAATACACTGTAAATATTAATTAAAAAAAAACCTGAAATAATTAACTATTATTATTATGTAGTACTTAAAATGTTTAGTACATATAACAAACTTTATCAACTGAAACAACAACAGTTATATATTTGTACAATTTCATGCACTGATAGCGAAAATATTTCATTTATTTGGGTTCATTTCATGAGAAATCAAATCAATCAATATTGACAATATATAACTGTTATAAAAAGTATGTACTAAATGTAAATGAATAAATGGTAGTATTCATAGGGATTACCAACTTTTATGGTTGCCTATTAAAATCAAAACCTCAACCATAACGAAATATAAAGTATTTTATCATTTCTTCTCTAATAGCATGAAAACCCATAAACCGAGGAATCTTCCTAAATATTACTTCTTTATATAATTCTCATTATATACCACTGCAGTTTTCTAACAAAAATCTTCAATCTCTCAACTCAAGCATGAAAAATATTTTTAACAAATGTTTAAGGCTGATATCATAATGTATTTTCTTCACACACTGCTTCTGAATAAATATTTAGCCAACAACAGACATGCACACATTCAACTGCTTCATCATAACATATAACATTGGTACCAATAAATATATAAATAAATAATAATCCTGAATAAAGAGAAACAAATTCATGGAAATATTTTGGATATAAAAAAACTTAATTATTGTCTTAACCTTGTAAGGCATCTGTACCTCATTAAATATGAGGGTAACAGAAATTAACATCATGAATTTTAAGAGATCACAAAATATGACTTCCCTGGACTATACATCAACAGCAGATGCGGATCCAGCCATTTTCAAAAAAAAAAAGGGGGGGGGGGGGGGGGGTTTCCAACCCAGGATAAAGGGGGTTTCAACCATATGTCCCCATTCAAAAGCATTGATCGTAAAAAAAAAAAAAACGGGGTTCAAACCACCCACCCCCCCGTTGGATCCGCCTCTGGACAGCAATCCAATCTATATATATATATATATATATATGCTGTTTTTTAAGTTTGCAGAGGAAATCTGAAGTTTACTGAACTCAAGTCGTTACATTAATACTACAACATAGTCATTTTTTAGCAATTTCATGGTCAAATATGGAAAGGAATCCCAAATAGTGCAATGTTTTATTGTCCTTATTTAGACATTACTATAGAAGGCTTTTGAATTTTATTGGTGGACACAGTTTCTTTACATATTTTTTGTAAAACACTTCACCTTTGATTTTGTAGAGTTAATTATTTTAACATTAACCAGTAGATATAACCTAACTGTGATAATGTGGAAACAGATGGTATACACTGTACACATTATTACAAACATTTGTGACACACAGTCATTAGCTGCATAGGGCCTTGACTATGATATTGAAAAATTAAATGCATGAAATAACTAAGGAATAAATGTTCACAGAAATTGTCCATTCCATGTCCAAATTCTCAAATTTCACCATACAATATATCTTAATAGTTTAAAGCATTGTTATGAAAAAGACATTGTTATCTGTTTCTAAGCTTTGAACAAATAACATTTGTTTTTTTGAGACAATGGTTATGTTGTATCTACATGCCACAATCTTCAATCCTGCTTCAAGTAATAATTCTTGCTTCAGTAAGTCAAATTATTTCCTTTTGGAACTTTTTTATATACAGGGAACAACAGAACTATTAATAAATTGAGCTTAAACAGAATCATGCTGTGTGTTTAATTTACTGTATAGCAAAATTTTAAAAACCTTCATTTCACATTCCATTACACGATTTTAAAATTTAAAAGTTTCCTTGGAAACAGATTGGTAAAACAAAACTTATTAACAAAGTGTAAAACAAGTGAATTATATATGAGAAATAGGCAGTTCCATCATCTTGTGCCCCATATTTACATCTAATACATATATAATATATATCTTTATATAACCATGTCCAGCACCCAATCTTCTTATTGACTAAACTTACACAAAACAGTTATTCCATGTTAAATTTAGAAAATAGCACATTTTATGGAAATAACAATTAATTAATTCAGAACATAAATATAACCTTGTCGACTCCTTTCTCAGTCCATACTATTATTGAAAGAAAATCTGTTTAAGATAAGGTATCTCTGTATTATCCTAATAATAATCCAGGTCCTTTGGGTAAATCTTTTGCCAAATGTTGTGTTCATTTAACTTATCCACTACCTACTGCCTTTGCCTGACCTGCAGTGCATGCAGTTCCTTGTAACTACATAATAATCTTCACTCGTGTCATTCTATTATCTTCTACTTTTCAATTTAAATAATTGAAAGCAAGAGCATGAGGCATAGATGGATTTTTCAAAATTAGCCATAATACAAAGACATTTTGTCATTCACTATTTTAAACTGACCACTGAAATGCCAGGAGAAAAGTTTGAATTTCACTTCCATTCCTTTTTAAAGTAATAGAGTACATGCTAGCCACAAATGAAATTCTTTTACTGAAGAACAGCTGCAAGCTCAAAGAAAATCTTTCTGAACATACATAGATACATAGACTGACAGACCTTGTTTTGAAAACATTGATGTGTATAAAATGAAGTTTTAATTGTGAAGAACACATTGTCTGTAAAATCATCACCACAGAAATTATATGTTAAAAATAGCACTGCTACTATGGTAACATATCACAATGTAGCATTGTTTCTATGGCAACATATACATGGTATAATATATCTAAGCGTATATCTATATAACTGTTGAATGTCGTGAAGTAACAGAATCTTTTTTACTCCGTAATGATGCCGACGGAGATGGCCTTGATCCTGAATACGCATTTTCATTTCCTGTTATTACAACTGTCCCATAAAATTTTTCTTGTTCCTCTCGTTGTTTTTGGAATTCTTCTTCTAATCTCTGAAAAATAATTTGTTATCATGAATGCATAATAAAGGATAAGTTAGTTTACATACTGAATAGCTGCTTAACAAGTTCTAAGATTAAGATCACATCTCTGATAGTTTCTTCAATTATATTTCCTTTACTTGAATTTTATTTAAATATCCTTTCATATATCACTTAACTACACTATTAGGTATTAATAGATGCGATACAAGACTAGCAGACATTTAAGGTGCCCTATTTTATTCTTCTTCATACTATACGTTTTTTCAGGGTTTTCAAAAATATAAACAACTGCATCATGAGTGCATATTATGGCTGTCCCCTTAAATAGTTTAATGACCATTTGTCTTACCAAGAAGTTATATCAATCTCAAAAGGGGGGGTGTCTCTTCCTATATAAAGGTATACACAGACCTACCGCCAGTATGGGTAACTTTTTTGGAATGTAAAATATATCAATTAAGTGCTATTTCAAAGATGAAGAATACTATTGGGTAGACATTTATATGTCAACGGGTCATAATCTTCTGATCTATTTTGAACAGATATATCACGTTATGGAGGGATATTTGCGAAAAATACCAGACCAGGGACTGTTAAATTTCCCGAGCCACTAGGCAAGGGAAATTTGGTCTCAAGACTGGTATTTTTCGCAAATACCCCTCCATTACATGATATATCTGTTTAATTACACCGAATAGATTTTGATTGAAACTGCCTGTACAGGTGAAGGGAAATCGTAATACCGCGGGAATTATACATGTACTTAAATACGCGAAAGTGCTGTCTTTTTGTAACGTAATGGTATCTATGCGTAAACATCATTGTTATTCCATCATTAAATCGTACTTTTGTACAGACATCTTTTTCCACTTTATATGTATATCTCTGACATTCAGTTTGTTTACAGTTTTAGGTTTAACTCAATCAATAGTTGTCTTAATAATCGGGATAAAGTGAGAGAGGTTTCGAATAATTTTAGCGGGAAAAGGCTCGCTAGGGTAAAAAAGGAATATCCAAAATGGCAAATACCACGGCAGAGAGGGGAATTTGTTGCAAATTCACCAGCATGCAGTGCTGAAAAACAGTCAAATTCTTTTGAAATGAGGAAAAAAAGTTAGAATATACGAAAAATACACTGGCTAACAACCAATCAAAATCCGGCATTCTTATATAAGGTGTAATTAATCTAATAATATGAATGATCTCATGTGGTTAACCTCTAAATAAGATGATAGATGGGAAATATATATAATTGGGTTGTGATTTTCCTATGAAATATATGAATGGGTAGGGATTTTCACATAAATCAATGTATGAATGGGAGTGGTTTTCAAACCCCAGTGGGACGTCTGAACCCAAATTTGTATTATGAGACCCCACATGATCAATCTTAACATCCTTTAAATATTTCACAGCTTTTTTGGGTTCTTGTAATCTGAAAAAAACAATTGCACCACCAATACCATTTTTTCACAAACATTCCATAACTCCAGAGTTATCAGAGAACAGAAACCAATTTCGGGACGTATGTACAAATGGACAAGGGTAACATTTAATGCCCCTTCCGTGATTGCGGGGGCATAAAAAGTATGAACTATCCAATTTGATAGGGGTTGTTTCATAAATCTGACAATAAATCATGTAAAAAATTCAATATCGCAAATTTAGTTGAAAAGGCAAATAAATTCAAAAAGTTTTGTCATTCTAGAATGACTAAAGTAATAATTACCAAAACAGAAAAGAGGGATTACAGTAATCAATCAAACAATTATGTAGTATTGTATTGTATAAGATTTGGTCAAAACAAGCTTGAATTATCAAAAGTGAATGTGTAGACAATCTGATTATAGAGGAATGATATTTAGTTATGTTCTATTGTCAATAATCAAAGATTTGCATTGTTGAATGTTTAGTTATTAACCAAGTTATCACTGTTAAATCATAACATACATGATACCTTAAAAACATATGTCATTTTCTAAGTTATACTTTGGTACTAGGAGGAAAATACTAAAAATTGGTACTGATAATGTTATTATAGCTGGTATATTTCAACAAAGAAATACCTATGGAAGATGTTGAAAATAAGACAGAGATTAAGGGAAGAAATTTTGCTGGTTTTTACCATTCTGTGTTGAATATTGAGACAATTAACCACAGACAAAAATAAAGCGACTCTTCAATGTAAATGTTCAGCCTTGACAGTATTATAACTCACCTGTTTCCTAGGAACAAGTTGGTTCTTCCATTCTCGTAACTCATTAGAATATTGTTCATCTAATTCTTTAATCTTTTGGGTCTCTTGTTCCATTAACATTTTCCTCTTTTCACCCTAATATAAAATAAAGAAGACATATAACAATAGTGGTTGAAGTTCAAGTTTTGGACATTGTACTTCATTTTCAGCAAATCATAATGTTTATTATCACAATGGTATACATGATACAATGAATTCATGTTTCCTGTTTTCTTACATAAAGTCACTTTTTTCATCATGTTTCACCACCTTTAGAATTTAAGTGATTGTGTTGTCAATACATTATCTATAAAGAAAAGAACAGTCAACAATAAGAAAAACAAACAACACAAAAATGATTTTAAATTAAATATTAATTCTGATATTCACCAAAAAAATGGATGAGGTGGATGTTTTTTATTCGGATATAAATTAGGATACTTTAGAGGTAGTTATTTTAAGCATTATTATTGATTGATTGATTGATTGTTGGTTGCTTAATGTCCAGTAGCATAAGCATAATGATAATTTATTATAAAAGTTCTTGCAATATCTGACCCTATACTTTTCAGGGGAAAATCTTTGGGGAAACCATCTGTCTGATGAAAACAATACTTTTTCTGAATTTCATTGCCATAAAAACACCCAACTCAAACATCTGCAAACTTGATATAATTTACCTGTAATTGTTCAAGTTCTCTGAGACTTGTCTCATTTCTGAACACCAAATCTTCCCACTGTTTCTTGTGTTTATTTTCTTGTCTCTGTTGTTCTGATTTTATTCTCTTTTTCTCATTTTCTTCAAACTGAAAAAAACAAAAAAGACTCACTAATTATATTAGGTTTTACATTATCACTTTGTCAACTTCCAAATCCTTTGTTATTTAGACACAATAGTACTTAGAATAAATCAAATTAACACACCCAATTCTGAACAACCAAAACATATTCATGAAAAAATCTTCTTTTAGAAATTAGGTTATGCAGAAATGTCTAACCTGTGTAGGCCACTGCTATAAGTGATTGTTAAACAGGAAGTTGATGGGCAAGTCAGGAGATTTTTTGTTGTTGATGTTGGTTGTTGTCTGCCTTATTTGTTTATTATTGAAGCATATATCAGGGCCTTAGTTTTCTCGTTTAACTTGTGTCATGCATGAGCTTTTTGTCATTGAATTTATGATATGGGTCTTGCTCATTGTTGAAGGCCATACAGTGACCTATATTTGCTAACATCCACTTCAGTTGGTCTCTGGTGGATTGTTGTCTCATTGGCAATCATACCACATCTCCTTATTCTTATAATAGCTATGAAAACACATCAAATGGAATAGCATGCTCACATGAAGTTATCTACAAAATTTCATTAAGCTCAAACTTGTAGTTCCTGAGAAAATTGTGATGACAATTTCATGTGACTAACAGAGGTAAACCTGTATACCCCCTCTTTCTGAGTGAGCAGGGCTATAAAGTTTGTGGAAAGTTTGAAAGGTCAAGGTCACATATCACACTGACAACCAGGGCTTCCAAAAAATATTTGAGCCAGCCGGACATTTTATATCTTATCCCGATTTTAATCCCTTAAGACTAAGTCACAAAAGGCAATTATGGTAATCAGATGGCCATCCCAATGATTGACATTAGATTAAAAAAAAAAACGATATTAAACTTTACTTTGATGTGAATTTGATGTTCGGACGTAAACTGTTAAATTGGCAGTGCAGAATTCGAAGTGTGCACATCAGCGTGCTCATAACTGCCTTAGACTCTTTATTTGTGCAAAATTATGTTGTCAAAAACTTTACTTTCGTTTTTAAATTCACATTTTCCTAATACCGGATGTTGACCTGACAATGGTAAAACATGGACCAGAAACGGATACGTAAAATCCGTGTACGTTTACAAAGCACGACTGAGTGAAGAAGCTCTTTCCACGTTATTTCTTCAACAAAATACTTGAAATGAACGTTACATACAGGTATCAATGATAATTTTTATCATTTTTTAAGAAATGTAGGATGCATAATTAAATTTCCCTACTGTGCACATGCGCACACGTGTTCTAGTTCATACAACGTAGTTCTTACGATTTTTCATTTAAAACCTTTTTAAATTTTTCATCAAATCATGTTTATAAACGTATTTCTTATAATTTCAATCTTTTGGACTAAATCAATTAGATAGAAACCGCTGAAATGTAAGAAATTAACTTTGAATAGACCGATCAATTTATACGATGTCCGGTACTGGAAATAGTTTACCTGTCACCTGAACAGGTAGATTTCAGCTGTCCAACAACTAATTAGCCTTGATTAAAAATAGAAAGTATTGAAGTAGGGGTTGTTTTGATAGTAATTAATCATCATGTCACTTTTATGACCGGAAATGTGTGGCTGTTAAAGGCAAAAGGTTGGGTCAAAAAGATCGTGAATTATGCTAAAATGACCGTCTCTTAAGAAAGCCTTGACAACTAAAAAGTAGATGACCGTTTCATGCTTTGCCCAGCCGGACTTTTACCGGACATTATACAATTGTCCGGAATATATGACCGTTTTGGAAGCCTTGCTGACAACAGGACCTTACAATTAACACATAGATAACAGATACTGAATCTAGCATACTATACTGAACTGAGAGTTTAAGGTCAGGTGATATTTGTTAGATATACATGAAAACCTTAACAATCAGTAAACTGACCCCCAAACAAGACCTATAATTTTTACATTCAATACAAGAATAAGACAACATGATTATCTCAGTCATTGAGGTAAGTCCAAATCATATTTCTTATAAAACTAGCTCATCATAACCAATAAACTATTGAAACAGAAAGAGGGTGTTGAGTGCAACAAAATACTAAGTTCATAAGAAATCTTCAATTAAAATATAAAATGCCAAGCTCTTCTGTTTTCTGAACCATTAAACTTTAATGTAACTTCAATAAATTAATACATGTCTACTTTCATCTACAGTATCAAGTTATAATTAATTCAATCTGTCATATAACACCTTAGTCATCATTGAATGTTTTGTTTTCCTGATAAAAAATGGAGATCCCCTTTTTGAAATTTTAAAGAAATGATTTGAACCACTAAACAAAATCATGATCATTTCAATTAATCAAAAAAAAATATTTCTCTATTGATTATCTAGAAACCAAAAGTGTGACATACAGAAGGATGAACATAAAGCTTCCTATATACCCTTGTCAGTCGAGTGGGGGTATAAAAACTAGAGACTTTATTAAATAACCAAAATAAATAGATGTATTAAATAATTTGTTTGTGATTTCTATTACCTGTAACAAAATTTGAGGGTACTATAACGATAGATCTTTTATCATTACTATACAGAGTTATATCATATATATGTATACCTACAATCAATATAATTATCTTATATTGTAAACTAATCAACTTCGTTATATTTTCTTCATTACAACATTTTATCATTCTACATGTCTATTCCTTTCCCTGTTGTTAAAACATCAACATCTTTTAATTAAGATAATTTACATAAAGGTTTTTTTGGAAGGAAATATTTTTTCATTAATATTCACACTGGAAGAAATCAAGACCAACATTTGCATAGACACAATGGAGAACAGTCATGTAAAAATATAAAGGTAATGTGTATTGGTATTAATAAATATGACATCACAAGAAATCTTTGTTCCCATTTTTCCCCCCTTTTAAATCACCTGAAGTTGAGAAGTTTACAGCTCTATATGACCTTTGGTACATGCACAATATAACTATAAAATTATCATAGTAATTTCTTGTATATGATGTGCCTATGATTATTTGAAAACTATAGTTAATACAAAAAAAAAAACTTTTCAAGGTCTGATTTCACTAATTATTTTAGGGTTAGTTAGTGTTCAAATTCACTTAAAACAGTGAGTGTTCTTAAACTTAGAAACTTCAAAGTGAAAAACCCAGAAGTTCTTGTGAATGAAGAAGGCAAAAATATTATAATACTGTCAGCAGTATTATGCAAATTAGTGCAAGTTTTTACAATTTAACTTAAATAGGCAAAATATTATTTACCAGGTAGATGGACCTTTGTGAGAATTTATTAGCTATCTTATAAAAGTAAGTTAGTATCTATGGATAAATCATGTAAATTAACGTGTGTAATAAATATCTGAAAAAAAATGAATTTAGGGCAGTAATAGTACTATGTTTTTATTCTCTTTTCAAAAGTAACTTTTTCTGCTTTTCATTATGTCCAATGGCTCATGTCATCAAAATGAATAAACTTGTGATTTATATGTTTTGCTTACATATTATGGACTAAATTAAGACTATCCTCACAATCCGACACGCAATCCTTTATTGGACCACGTTATTAATCTTCACGTCATTTTCAATATTAATTCTGGAAACATTCTGTGACCAGGAACCTTCATTTCACAATATTTGTCTCAAAATGATATCAAAACTGATATAAAAGAAGTCAAATTACAATAGATATTTCATCTTACAGTTGAAGGCAATTTTTTATCTTACAATTGAAGGCAACATTTTATCTTCTATCTTACAACTGAAGGCAATATTCTATCTTACAACTGAAGGCAATATTCTATCTTACAACTGAAGGCAATATTCTATCTTACAATTCAAGGCAATATTCTATCTTACAATTGAAGGCAATATTCTATCTTACAGCTGAAGGCAATCTATCTTAAAATTGATGGCAATATTCTATCTTACAATTGAAGGCAATATTCTATCTTACAACTGAAGGCAATCTATCTTAAAATTGATGGTAATATTCTATCTTACAATTGAAGGCAATACTCCATCTTACAACTGTATATTAATAACATATAGCTAACTGAGGCAAGGTTGACAATGTTTTTCGAGGGGTAACAATCTGCTCCATCATCATTAAGGCTATGTGTTATTTAATTTATTATACTGAATGCTCTGTCATTATTGTCTTTTAAATCGTAAATTGAAGGTTATAAACTATGACGTCATGTACATAACAACGTTACAGTCATTAGAAAAAACAAGTGAAGAAAGATGTATTTTTTATGTTGTCGGTCTATTAAAAATGTCTGAGGCCGCAACGGAGAACTTGAGCATTGTCTTTAAAATTATTTATGCAAATTTAATTCATTATCCTATAAATTATCGATTTTTGATAGGTCTGCACGAGAGGGTGACATTCAAAACATTTTCTACCGCTGAGCCAAGGGATAGAGTAAATTATCTCCCTCGTAATAACCAATCAAAATCTGGCATTTTAACGTGAAGTATAATAAAAGGCAATATTCAATCTTACAATTGAAGGCAATATTCTATCTTACAACTGAAGGCAATATTCTATCTTACAACTGAAGGCAATATTCAATCTAACAACTGAAGGCAATATTCTATCTTACAACTGAAGGCAATCTTCTATCTTACAACTGAAGGCAATATTCTATCTTACAGCTGAAGGCAATATTCTATCTTACAATTGAAGGCAATATTCTATCTTACAACTGAAGGCAATATTCTATCTTTCAATTCATTGATGATACAAATGGCCTAAACTGTAGGAATAAGACATTACAAAACTAAATTTTCAAACTGCAAAAATTTATATTTGCAGAGAACAATTTCAGCAAAAATTGTCTTGTGATTTCATGCATTTTGATAAATAAGATAAGATTACATTTATAGATAAAGTATAGAGTTCCCCATCGAATTCATCAGACTTATACAAGGAGTTTTATTATATTCAACCAATCAATTATTTAAGTACTGTATTCACTATGTCTGGGTATAAAGATGTCAGCGTTCAAATCTTTGATGGGGATATATTTATTCATGCTATCTTTAACAATTCATAATCAGATCAAATACAAGCTATTGTTTTGTGCCTCTTAAATTTAAAAACTTATGGATTATCAAGGTTCTTCCATTCTGAATTTGAAATTTTTTAAATGTCTTAAAGATCTTCTCAATTTAAAAAAATAAAACAGCATACCAATGTACACCCCAATTCCAACTTCCAAACAAATAAACCTGAATCAATTTTTTACACTCTCAATTCTTTAATTTCTAGAAATTTCAAATTCTAAAAAAATAGTACACACTGCATTTTAGTCCAAACCTATTTAAGTTTCATAACCAGATTTTGAACACTGAAATCAGGTATACTAATATATGGGGCAGACTTACATTCTTCTGACGCTTTTTTGTACAGAATTGCAATAAAAAACACAGCATACTACACTCCCCCTGCATTAGATATAAATGTGCATTGTACCTACCTCCCTCATCATCTGAATAACAAGTATATACGTCAATAATCTGACCAGTAAATATTGATCAATACACACAATTAATATTTGTATACTACTACCAAAACAACATTTTCAAATTGTGGGATGAAAACTTCCCTGAAAATCATGAAATTCTACTTTAAATAGGAAATTTTAGTCAAGAACCTTATCAAAGTTTTCACTTAAAATATATTTTTAACATGATTAATTATCAACTCAGAACTAAAAAGTTACTATCTGACTGAACCAATCCCATCAAAGGTTATAAATATGCAAATCTAAAATAATACAACTCTGGAATGGCCACGGTTGTAAAATATAATTGAACAATATAAGATACCTGTTTCATTTTAGCTCTATCGTCCTCTGGCGATCCTACAACACTAAGTCGTAGACTCTGTTTGAACATCTGAGCTCTGGTTTTGGCCTCATTTTTAAGTATTTTAGGAAGCCTTCTTTTCTCAAGCACATGTCTTCTTTGCATTTCTTCTTCCTTCCCTAAATTACTTCTCTTCATCTGGTCTACTTCCTGTTAGTGAAATATAATTCTATGTTTGTTTGTCATGGCAAAATTTAACTATTCTTTGACATATTTGTTTCTTTTGTTTTTTTTAATTTATTGTTGTGATAATAGACCATGTAGCAAGTATTTTTTCCATAGGTTTACTCTTTCTATGTGTTAATGAGAGATGAGTAGAATCAATTTTTATGTCTTTTCTCCACAAAAAAGTTTTTAATAACAGAAATATCAGAAAAGCATACTGATAAAATTGATAACTGTATCTGTTAATTTTTCAATGATATAGAAGTTGAAGTATGTACAATGTTAGATCTACTATTAATGTGGTCTTACTGTGACTGGATTGGAAGTGTTTCTCTCAACCAATTGCACTTTGGTCAGAACTTTGAATGTCAGAACCACAATTGGTCATGTTGCTGGAGAGAAACACTAACAATCAAGTATCTGTAATATTCATGGACTTTCGAGAGGAAAGATACTATTTATATTCATGTGTTTTATGCAAAGATTGTAGTCACAAATTCAAAATCCAAATTTCATAAAAAAACAAACTATTAAATCTGACCTGATCCTATCTTATCAGTGATTTTTCTAACCATTTCAATCCAATTATTATTGTGTATTTTGTTTTGGTTGCTGAACATTCAACCACAAATTTGCAATGCATATTGAGGAAAGCCCTTTACTTTCAGTATATAAAATATACCGGGTACTACTGTATTACATAATGATATAAACCTTTTGGTGACGAGTTAACATCTGGTGACGTTTTAAGAAAAACATATCTTTCAGCTGACTCTTTGCCAGTTGGTGTTTTTCATGTAACTGCTGTTTTTCTAACTCCCAAATTGCTGCCTCACGAGCTGAAAAGAAATACTCAATTTTAATACAAATAATACTTTAATCCTAAAATAGTTGTAGAGTTTGCTGTTACCTAACAATCATTGTACTTTTAGCATGTATTAATGGTCTTATTTAAAACTACATATAAAATCTTATTTGTAATATGAATTATATATTTTGAAGTAACACAGTTTGAAGTCAGGTTCACAGAATTTTAGCATTCTAAGCTTTATAAACTTTATTTCCAAACTGCACGAATGTCATCAAAGTTTTTCTTTCTCCTGAAAAGTGTAAAAGCACTGCTGTGTAATGGACATAACTATACATTGTTTCTTGATACAAATTTATCTAAAATCATTTCTGTACTATTTCATTATATAATCTGAAATGTTTAACCAGTACTAATATAAATATAAGGAGATGAGGTATGATTGCCAATGGGATAACTATCCACCAAAGTTCAAATAAAGTGGATGTAAGCAGTCATAGGCAACCGTACAGATTGTTTTCTGAAGTCACAAAATTTATTTATTTTCATGAATAATTTAGAACAATGTTGAATTAACGATTGTTTACCTCTCAGTAACTGTTGTTTTTGTTGTAAGAACTGACTTTCTAACAAGGCTACTTTCTGTCTGTGTGTATCTGCTATTTGTTTCATGTGTTTCTCCATTCTCTCTTGCTGGTTTTCCATGAACTGTCTCTCCTAAAAATAGAATGTCCAGTCACCAATTTTAATAAAAGATTCATGTTTTTATCATTCAAATTATTCATACTGCAGTTACCAATGTCATAAAGTGTACTGCTCCCTCAAACTCGAAGGAAACTTTTTTTACATATAAACCTTTAACACAATGCATGATGTATCTGTACAGAGACAAAAGTAACACCAGCATCTGTGTCAGTCTACACTATACTGGTGTAACATTAACTACAGCTAGAAAAGAACTGCAGTCAGGTGTGAGCTTTTGATCCAAGTTGAAGTCCTCATTGTGACTTTGAGGCAAAGCACAACAATTAAAGCTTTTTCCTTTGCTTTGGGTTTTGTCAAGGGTGATAGGAATTTTGTGTCATTAATTAATACATCATATTTTTTTATTCCTAATGATGTATGAGGAACAGTACATGGCCATAAGTATTTTTCACTTACAATTTTTTGCTACATGTTTTATATAAAACTTCATTTTTCCGAAATAATATTTTGAAGGCATTTATGGTGGGATTTTAACAAACCATGTGTTGAAGGACACAGAATTGTCTGAAGAATATTTGTTTATCTATTCATAATTTTTTCTTTGATTGTTTTTTTTCTCCTGATTTGAACATGTATAGTAACTTTTTATAATTTAATTTGGTTGATTATATAGCAAATTTCCAGACAAAATATGAAACTTGTGTTATGGCGTCAGAAAATGAGAACGCTTCACAACAAACATATATACAAATAAATTAAATAAACCTGTGCAATTCTGCTTCTATTGGCACTAAGTTTATCATATTCCACCAAGAAATGACCCACAATAAAATTTAAAAAAAACGTAATTTTATATGAAATATACAGAAAACACTAGTGCACATGCTGAAATGTCTAGCCTGCTTTACTGACCATTGATTTTATGTTAAAAGTCTTAAAGATGAAGGTTTTACTAAATGTATCACATAACCATAACATTTTTAAAGATCCATGACAAATGAGATCAAGGTCAGATAAAACCTGTCAGATGGACATGTACACCTCACAATTATTTTGTACACTGAATGTAGTTGACCTATTGCTTATAGTAATTGAAAAACAGACCAAAACACAAAAACTTACATTGACCAATGAACCATGAAAATAAGGTCAAGGTCAGATGATACCTGCCAGACAGACAAGTACACCTTACAATAATTCCATACACCAACTTTAGCTGACCTATTGCTTTTAGTATTTGAAAAGCAGACAAAAACACAAAATCTTAACATTGATCAATGAACCATGATAATGAGGTCATTGTCAGATGAAACCGGCCAGACTGACATGTACCCCTTACTATCATTCCATATACCACATATACATGTAGATGACCTACTGCTTATAGTATCTGAGAAACAGACCTTATCATGTAACTTAAACCTTGATCAATGGTCCATGAAATGAGGTGGAGATCAGGTGAACTCTGTCTGAAGGACATGTAGACATTGCAAGGAAGCCATATACCATATACAGTTATCCTATAACACAATAAGTGAGAAATTCACAAGTCAAAAAAACTATAATAGATTTCTAGTTGCCTTATCACAAGATATATTACCTTATCTGCCAGTTCTATCTCCTTCTCATCTTTACGTTTCCTCATGGCTTCTTTCTTGTTATCTTTAGACATGAAATCTAACTCTTGCTTCAGTAACTTCATCTCTTGTTTCTGTTGTTCTTTAAACATTTTAAGTTCCTTTTCCTATAACATGTATTTCAATAATGTACTCATATCTAGGGTACATTGTACTCGTATCTAGGGTACACAATAACAAACGAATTAAAAAATTTAGATACAAAATCTGTGTTTTCCTAAGAGGATTTTTTTCTTTTTATAAATATATTTCTATTTTTGTTCGGGGCCTTGGTGGTAGAGTGGTGTAAGAAGTTCACCTACAGTTGTCTCTTGTCCGAGAGAGCTGAAAGTGGTGTTAAACACCAACAATCAATCTATTTTTGATTGCTGGAAAATTGTATTGACATGTCAGTTCAGGAATACAAGATAGATTAATAAAGAGTTTTTAATCAATTGCAGGGGTTCAAATTAACATTTGGTACTGGAAGGTCCAGGACCTTTGACACTCCAAACTGAAAGGTCCACAACCTAAATTCCAGGTCCTACTTTTACTTGAAATATTTCCTAACATAGTAAGATACAAGTAACAAAATTAATGTGCTGTTGGTGTTAGGTCAACTTGTTTCATTGTCAAAGTCACTGTTGTATAAAATATTTAATAACAATTGTAATTGTCTTGTATATTATAATTCAGATAATCTTTTTTTTTGTTATTGAGGAGGGTGTCACCATGGGTGGGTGTGTTGTCTCAACTATTGGTAATTTATTACTACTTATACCATTTTATAAAACACAGTTCAAATTCAAAGCTGTTTAAGCAGAGACGTATATACATGTGTATATATGTCTCTGGTTTAAGTGTATCATATCTAGTTGCACTATTATAATGCATTAGTTCCTCTGTGAAAATAAGATAAGAAACTTCCAGATTTGTACTGGTCCTTTAGAATTGAGAAGACATTACCTCTTGGAATTGTAGTAATACATTTACACTATACAAAAATCTACATGTAATATCAATATTTATTAATGATAAAGAAAATTACTGTCACATTTTTTGGGATTTGAGATGAAAATTTATGAACTAAAAGTAATTTTGAGTTTCTGTAAAAAAATATTTCCTACTTTTTCTTTCTTTTCAATATATCTTTTGGTTTTCAATTCTAGTGTTTATATTTTATCATCATAGATGTATTTTGTCAACTGCCTGGAATTATTATTTTTTCATTGTATTTGATCGGCAATCCCGGAATTACCCTTATCCGCTCTGGAATCGGATCCGTTTTTTGTTATTTTCTTCATTTCCGGTTTATGGCATCCAATGTTTTTCAATGTTGTTTTGTCAGTCAGATACGATTTTACTCGGATTTACACATTACTAGTTGGCAATTTTCGGTATAAAGCTAGCGGTTGAACAAAATGAACATCGCGGTCATGAATAATAATGATGAAAATAAATTTTGAGATTGTTTGGAAATTTTTGTTTAAAAAGGTCGGCAAAGTTAATTTTTATTTTCTTTCAAACCGAAGGTCCGTCGGGCGTAGCTTGTAACAAAACGAGAGTCCGACTGCAAAAATGGAAGGTCGCTGACCTCGGACCACCGCTAATTTGAACCCCTGAATTGTACATATATATCCCATTTGCTGAAACTGATTCAATGGTTCCTATTTGACAAATTTCAAAGCATACTCAGTGGTGGCAAGGCTTTATTTCCAGTAAAGCGTTGAATGAAAGTTACTGTACATCTGTTTTGGAAAAAAGTGCATTGATCTATCATAAAATCTAACTGGGCATGCTGGGCACTAAATGTTGAATCGGTAAATATGTCAATTCAGTCTATCATCAGTATGGTTCTAGACTCTTTTTGGTCATATGACAAGCCATAAACATACATGTATTCTTGCCACATTTAAAATCACCTTTTATGTCAATTTTTTGTGTGTGTATACTATTTATAATTAACCTTGATAAGTTTAGTTGAATCTGTTATGTGTGTGACTTGTTCTATCTGGATATGTTAAACAGCTTCTTTGAAATTTGTACTTTTTATTGTAATTGTATCAAATTATCCTTCGACCTTTCTGTGTGATAATTTTTAATCTCACACTTAGCGACTGTGATGGGTTTTTTTTGTCTAGTAGAGCTTGCAAGAATGCTGTATGAGTCTGTGTGAGTGTTTGTGTGTATGACATTTACCTGTTCAATCTTGATACGTTTAGCAGCACCTTTCGTGTTTGTTGTGTTTGTTTGTTCTTGTGTGTATGGCATTTACCTTTCAACCTTGATACATTTAGCAGCACCTTTCATGTCAAGTTGTATTTGTGTATGAGATTTACCTGTTCAATCTTGATACAATTAGCAGCACTTTTCGTGTTTGTTGTGTGTGTTTGTTCTTGTGTGTATGACATTTACCTGTTCAACCTGTGTGTATGACATTTACCTGTTCAACCTTGATACATTTAACAGCACCCTTCATGTTTGTTGTGTGTGTGAATGCTTGTGTGTATGACATTTACCTGTTCAACCTTGATATGTTTAGCAGCATCTTTCATGATTGTTGTGTGTGTGTGTGCTTGTGTGTATGACATTTACCTGTTCAACCTTGATACGTTTAGCAGCACCTTTCATGTCAAGTTGTTGAGAAGTCTCAGCTTTTTCCACTTGTTGTTTCTGTTGTTTAGTCAAGGTATCCATATCTTGATCATAATTCTTCTTTAAATTCTATAAAACATTATGTTATTTTTTAAATTTTAACCTCATAATCATGATAATTTTCTGTCAAAACATAAATAAACATTACTAAGAATTACTCAGGATTACACATTTACCTCAAATACTATAAAGCAGACTTATCTTCTAAAAGTTTTCAGAATATTCTTTGAAGTAAATGCATTTGAACCCATATACAAAGTACAAACTTATATGAATTTATAGTATGTATGGTTATAATATTTGTGTTTAATTTTGTGTTTTATTATATTCAGCATACATTTTCGCTCATATCAAAATTAATCTTCCAATTATAGACACACTTTAAACACTTAAAGCATATTTATTTCTGCATGTTTAAGCCTTTCTTGTCTGAATTTTCATTCCTCAAGTCCTCAGACCCCAATAGTAAAGGTAAAGACTGCCATATATAAGAAGGGGTCTTTATACCTACCTGCATATCATAGTCAAACTTCCTTTCTTGTGTTTCCCTAGCACCTTGTGATTTGTACACTAAATCTTGGTATTGTTTATTTTCTTGTTTCTGTAACATCTTCAACTCTCTTAAATCTTGTTTTCTGTTAAATATTAATGAAAATAAATAATTGATTATTTTGACATATATTTTAAATTATAACTTAGCAAATAAGCACTATTAGTGGCCATTAGGGAAATTGACAGCCTATTTTGTTATGTTCCATCATCTGTAAGGAGATAAGCTAGTTTTACATATTGTAGTCACCAAAAAAAATAAATGTGGATAGTGTCCACATGTGGACACAGATGATGCCCCCGCTTGCATATCATATAGTTATAAGGGGACATAACTGAAGAACGGTAAAAGTGACGCTTCCCTCAATTTGAACTTGATCTGAGTTTTGTGGTGATAAGCATTGTGTGCAAGTCTCATAACATTTGGTTGAGGCTAACTTAAGTAGAGAACAGAAACTAAAAATTTAGCAATTTTTCTATTTGTAAACACGCATAACTCTAGAAAGGTTGTGTTTAAGTTTTATAACATTTGGTTGAGACAAACTAGAGTTAGAGAACGGAAACGAAAAATTCAGCAATTTTTATGTTTTTAAAGGGACATAACAAGAATGGTAAAAGTGTCGCCACCAAATTTCGTACTTAATCTGTATTATGTAGCAATAAGCATTGTGTATAAGTTTCATAACATTTTGTTTAGGCAAACTTAAGTTAGAAAACGGAAACAAAAAAATTGTACTTGATCTTAGTTTTGTGGTAATGAATATTGTGTATAGGTTTCCTTCAAAGTTGTGTCACACAAATTAACTTCAGTTTGTCATGCTGCTCCTTTCCCAAAGCTCTTTAGAAACCACAGCATATAATATTTATACAACAATTACTGGCTATTTGATGCTTTATTTACAAAAGACCGGAAGAAAACATAAATTTTCAACACATCCCAGCAATCAATATAAGGACTGGCTGTTAAAAGTCAAATAGTACATCCCATCATTAATTTCACTTAATTTGCTTATAAATGACATTACTTAAGTTGATTTTAGACAAGGAAGTTATTGGAGACAACCAAATGGGGCAAAATTTTCTGTTGTACTGAACATTTATATCAATACCATGCCATCAAGCTTCACAGAAACAAAAAAATAATTAGATGCTTAGACTGTCATGACTTTGTAACATATCAAAGATATTAGAGGCTTAGACTGTCATGACTTTATAACATATCAAAGATACCATCTATTTATTGAAGTAATTACATGTATAGTAAAGTTATTTTGGTAATGTTCACAGCGAAGTTATCAGAATGGAAATGATTCAATTTTGTTGTTCTGCATGTCAAAAGTCCTTTAATATTCTGATTGTATCATTGGTATTTCATATGTCCTAATCTTATATTTCTATAATTATTCCAATCCTCTTCCTTTACCTGTGTCTGAAGTTTTATTTAATTAGTTTTTTTAAATATTCACCAAACTAGCATGCACAGGCCCTTAGTGAAAACTGCTGGCCAAGGGACTATGAGCTAACCTTAATTTTGAACACTCATCTTATCATCTTTGCTAAAACATTTCATATCATCTTTACTAAAACATTTCCATATCATCATATCACTTCATCTGTTCGACATCCCTTCTTTTAAAGCATTCAACTTTCACCGACTAATTTTTTTTTTTACGTACCATAAAGCAAAATAAATATAATTCAGGATCTTATTTCATCTAATCTCTCATAACAAACAAATAAAACACCCCCTCAAGTCATCACATATCCGCCCTCTATATCCGAACATACAATTATTTCTAAGAAAATTTCCATTAATCTTTTCTTTACAGAATCAATTACCAGGATAAAAGCTTTGGCCTGTCCTTATCAGCAGTGACCAAATTGTATTAATGTTATCATTATAATGACAGTAATCTGAATTGGTCAATTTATCAGATGTCCACTAATACTTATAAGTTTTATACTGTTGACATAGTGGACAATTGTTACAAACTCTGTAAATCAATAAGTTTTCCTTTCCTACTTCTGTGATCTCACATTCCATAAAATGTTATAATTTTAGAGCTGGCATACATTTGTTTGTAATAAATTAAATTCCTTTATTTAAAAGTAAACTTTTTTTTTAGTTAAAAAAAGCACATATTTATGAATATAACTGGCAGTCACTGATATTTGTTTTACTGCTCTGCTGTGCCTTTGGATCAGTCAAATCACTTACTCTTGAAACCGGTTCATCTATTCCATAATTTTGTGCAACAACTTATCGGTTTTATGTTGAAAAATAATTTTTTTGTCTAACAAGTTACTTTTTTAGGGCAAGCATACATTTTTTGTATAGCAAGTTACTTTTTTAGGGCAAGCATGCATTTATTGTGTAACAAGTTACCTATTTAGGGCAAGCATACATTTTTTGTTTAACAAGTTACTTTATTTTAGGACAAACGATCTTTACTATTTAATCTAATTTTTTTACTTAACTTGAGGACAAGAATATATTTTAGTAAAATCAAATTATTTCTGGACTATGGTTTTGTGTTACAAGTAACTGTTTTCCAGCATATCCATTCTTTATGACAAGTTACTATTTTTTAGGGCAAGCATGACATTTTGTATAAAAAGTTGCTGCACTTTATAGCAAGAATGTATTTCTGAGAAACAAATTAGTTTAAGTTAATTGAAAGCACAAGAACTAGCTATTAATTATCAAATTTAAAGAATTTATGAATTTTAGCCAGATTCCAGTATTTTCCTATAATAACTTCTGAAATCTTCCCTTTCCTTTACTTCCACTTACTGCAGAAAAGTTCATACACAAATATTTGCAGTAGACAAACAAGTTGGTAGCTAAAAAATATTATTGATTCTAAGTCAATAATTCCATGCACTTATGCCTAAATAATGCTTTATCAATAAGCCCAGAGTACTAAGCACAGGAAAAGGAATTAAATTCAAGGTCCTTGCTTCAACAGGAAGAGGGTTTAGTCTTTGAATGCACCTAAGCTAAAAAAAAAAAAGATAACTCCACTGATGGCAAGTTGGATACATATTATACAAATATTCTTTAAAACATGAGGTTAGGAAACCTTGCTATTTTATTTAAGGAATACACAGATCAGTGATGTTCATTAAACCCTTGACATAAAGGAAGAAATCAATAGAGTTCAAATGAAAATTTAATTATCTAGTGTCTACCATTATTTCTCACAATCTTAATTATTTTATTTTGAAATGGATTCTACTACATTCATACTTAAGGCCAAATTAATTTACTAATACTTTAGGAAGTGAAATATAATTTCTACTTTACTTCAAGTCCTTTCTATCAATAAATTGAATTAAAAGGAAAGAAAACTTAAAACCTTTCACTAAAATGTTGTTGCATTATAGGAAATGTGACTTATCAGCAAATAGAATTGTGCATTTCTACTTTAAATTTTGTGAATTTACTTCATTATACCACATAGGGGAATATGGTAATATTGGGACCATTACATGGCCATGTACAAGGTTCTCAAATTATAGAGAAACTAGCTAAAATATATTTAAAGTCTTAAACATGAAATCATTGCAGCAGATTTTCTGGTTTTAGTTATAAACTACTGTGTAGCCTAAATAACATTGCCCAAGAACTAACATGTATAAAATCTGTGAGTACAATAAACTGACATCACCAGGTGTGAATGTATGTAGTAGATTTACATAATCCAATCATGGCATTTCTTCCTATCTAATGAAAAACTACAGGACACAGTCATAAATACCTCTCAACATGAAACAAAGGTGATTTATCATTGACATTTGTCCCAATCATTGACACCTCATTAATTTTGACATTTTGTAATACATCATCACAATTATAACCAATCTGTATGATTAAGGCCTCAATCTAGATCAATGATTGCTGATCAGAGATAAAACTACATTTAATTATTTACTAAAAGCAGGAATTTTTGCACTAGAGGACTACAAAATCTCTTGCATTCAGTTTTTTTATATATAGCTGCACTAGCAGCAAATGACATAAATTCAATCTTAGAAATGACTTATGAAAAGCTCTGGTTCTACTTCCAACCTCTAAAATCAAGGACTGCATTTTAATATACTGTATGAATGCCAGTAACACTTTACAATATTACAATGTCATCAAGTGGCTTCACTATAACATCATATACATGTAGCAGTACATGTGTACTGTACAGTATTTTTGGCTGGAATACTTCCAAAGATAATAACATTTTGGTCTGTAGATGAAAACAACATCTAGGCATCATTATTTCATCCACAACAACTTTCACCAAACTTATTTTTTTCATGAACAAAGTCCCATAACAATAAAAACAGTCAATCCCCACCCCCTCAGTTGTGTTGTTGAAGAGTGCTGCTGGAGTTTGTCGATTCAATCCTGGCCAGGTCAAACTAAAGACTTGAAAATTGCTATTTACTGCTTTTCCGCTAAGCACAAAAACATTTAGAAGTAAGCAAAGACTGGTTATCCCAGAACAAAAAAATGTGTCATCATCTCCTTCCCCTTTCCCAAAATACCTCTTCAGACAATTGCACTGAAAATAGTCTTTGAACCTAACATCCACAAGAGAATTAAATGCGATCTTCTTTAATGGACACTTTTTAAAACTAGAGGATGTGTCAAACAACTACTCTCAACCATAGCATGAGGACAAAGAAAACATATGGAATCAAATTCAGAACTTAACAGTCTCTCAAAAGTAAAATATAGGTCATGATGATAATAATTGTGTTTCAATATGAAAGGATATGATAAATTATAATTGATCAGCTTCTATTGACATTTGAAAAAAGAACCTTAATATAAACTAAACCAGTTGCATAGCGGGTAAGCATGCTATGGTCCAAAGAAAAGAAACAGTTAAATACTACATTTTATTAAAGGTTTTTCAACACAAACCTTATAAAAAGTGGCTCAACTGTAAAATGTAGGTCACAGTGACTCATTTAATAAGTCTATTGATAAATGAGTCTTAAAGCCACTGAATCATGTAATATTCATCATGGTGACTGGAGTCTTGTTGGAAAAAGGTTTCAATGGTATATTATTGATGAAGTTTCA